ATCTTGCAAGATGAAATTCCTCATGTGACAATTCCATACATTGATGATATACCAGTGCGTGGACCAGGTTCAAGATACCAACTAGCAGATGGGTCATATGAGACTCACCCAGATAATCCTGGAATTAGAAGATTTGTGTGGGAGCATTTTGAAAACATAAATCGAATTATCCAGAGAATCAAATATTGTGGAGGCACTCTGTCAGGTGCAAAGTCAATTATATGTGCAGATGAGTTCCATGTTGTGGGACATCTGTGTTCATTTGAAGGCAGAAAACCTGATACAGACAGAGTAGGAGTTATTCTGAGATGGGGTCCTTTGAAGGATGTCTCAGATGTCAGAAAATTTCTAGGAACAATTGGTGTCATGAGAATGTTCATAAAAGACTATGGTATTCTGGCAAGACCAATTCAAAAGTTGACTAGAAATGATGAAGACTTCCAGTGGGGAGAAGAACAAGAAATTGCAATGGATAGGTTGAAGCAAGCAATTGCAACAGCACCATGTTTGAAACCTTTAAATTATGATTGGGATTCAGACATTGTTTTAGCAGTAGATACATCTTGGATGGCTATTGGCATTCAGATATATCAGCTTGACCCAGCAGATCCAAAGAAACGATATTATGCAAAGTTTGCATCAATTACTTTGAATAGGAGAGAGGCTAGGTTCTCTCAGCCTAAACGCGAACTTTATGGGCTTAAAAGAGCATTAGAAGCGATGCAGTATTGGCTTCTAGGATGCAGACATCTAGTTGTTGAGACGGATGCGCTCTATATCAAAGGTATGTTGAATAATCCAGGCATGGGTCCAAATGCAACAATCAATCGTTGGATTGAGCAAATATTAATGTTTCATTTCAAGTTGAAACATGTCAGAGGTGTGAACTTTCCTCCAGATGGATTGTCTAGGAGAGAAGCACAACCTGGAGATGAGGAATGGTTCCCAGATGAAGATGGATTTGAAGATGGTGAACCTCCACAAGATCATCCTGACTGGGATTATTCTGCAGAACAACCTTTGGAGTTTGAAAAATTCAAAGAGGACATTGATGAAAGAAGTGGATATGTTCAGACATTGTCAGGAATGGCATCAGACATATCAGACTTTTCTCAAGAATGTAACATGGCATCAGAACAGGAAACTGCTCAGATCACATATGTTGAATCAGTGTATAAGGCAGAAGGATTGGTTATGCCTGCCTATATGTACCAGAAACCAGAGAGTGGATTATTGCCACAACTTGAACTTAAAGATGATCAGAAGAAAAGAGAGCCATATGTTGAAGATCACAGAAGTGAAGGTGCAAAGGCTCAAGATCAGAAAATCAAGTTAGTAAAATTATGGTTGCAAGATCCATTGAAAAGACCTGCTGGTATTGGTCTTAAAGAAAATTTGAAATACCAGAAATTTATAAAATATAGTCGGAAGTTCTTCTTGAGTGAAGATGGAAAACTATATCACAGGGGTGATGACTCAATGCATAAATTAGTTGTGGACAAAGAGCATAGAATGTATATGCTTAGAGCTGCACATGATTCACTTGGACATAAAGGTGTATTTGCAACTAAAGCATTGATTGAATTGCGCTTTTGGTGGCCAGACCTTGAAAGTGATGTGAAATGGTATGTGAAAACATGTCATAGATGTCAAGTTAGGCAGAAGGCATTAATTCGCAGTCCACCAGTAATCACTGCTACTCCAAGTATTTTTCAGAAAATACATACAGATGTGATGCATATGAGTGAAACCTCAAATCAGTGCTCATATATTGTTGATGCAAGATGTGCATTGTCAAGATATCTTGAAGCCAGAGGTTTAAGAAAACAGAATGCAGAATCAATTGGCAGATTCTTGCTTGAAGAAATAATTTGCAGATGGGGATGTCCAAGTTGGATTGTTTCAGACAATGGGACTCCTTTCATAACAGCCTTAGAATGGCTAAAGAGCAAATATGGAATTGTTGGTATACAAATATCAGCATATAACTCTCAAGCAAATGGAGTTATTGAAAGAGGTCATTGGGATATCAGACAATCACTCAGTAAAGCTACAGGAGGAGACTTGAAGAAATGGTTCTGGTTTCTACCACAAGTTTTGTGGGCAGACAGAATTACAATTAGAAGAGGACTTGGGTGTTCACCTTATTTTGCAATATGTGGAGCACATCCAGTCACTCCTTTGGATTTAGAAGAAGCAACTTGGCTTGTTGAATATCCAGATAGGTTGTTGACAACTGATGAATTAATTGGATATAGAGCCCAAGCTTTAGCAAAGCATACATATCATGTGCAAGATATGCGGAAACGTGTAGCTGCTCGGAAAAAGCATGAAGCACAGATATATGGAGAAAAATATAAACATGTCATCAAAGACTATATTTTTGAACCAGGAGACCTAGTGCTTGTCTGTGACATGGTTGCAGAAGGTTCACTAAGTGCCAGAAATCAAAACAGGTGGAATGGACCTATGGTTATCATTGCAAGAAACAAAGGTGGATCATATATCATTGCAGAAATGAATGGTGCACTGTTTCATGGCAAGGTTGCCAGGTTCAGGGTGATTCCATATGCACAAAGGCATAAACTCAGTCTTGGAAAGAAAGTTCAAGAATTGATTGATATTTCACAAGACAAACTAACAGAATTAATTGAAGAAGCATCAGGAAAAAGCAGAACCACTATATAGCGCTATGTTGATTACATAGCAGTTGTAGCCTCGTTGCTAAGTACCCCTGAATGTAGCACCTTGTAGCCAATGGTATGACAACTGTTGCACAATGTAGCAGACTGTAGCCAGGTCAGCAGCTATAGTAGCACCGAGTTGCACAGTATATCCCAGACCGCACCACCATATCTAGCACACCATTGTATCAAGCAAATAATATAATAAATTGTACTTTCATGCTGCACTATTTACTTCGACGTTAAGCTCAACGGCCTGCAACTCCAACAGTGCCCGTTCCCGATCAGCGTTGTCTAAGCCAGCACTCTCCCTCGTAACCGGTGCAGCCCCAGCCGCCTTTCTAAAGAGTTGTTAGCTATGGGAATTGGTGATGAAGGATAAATGTACCGGCATTCATCATGGAGTCGCTGTCGGATGGCGGTGGTAACGTTCGGTACCAATGCTGCCCATTCGGTGACCGCCTTGAGATGATCTTGATAGCGAGCTTTATTGGTCACCTCATCGAAGATTACTTTTGCTGGTCGTTGTCCAGTACTGAAGGTATCAATGTGGAATTCAATCTAACGAGTATGAGATGACAGCAGCTGAAAAGAACAGAAACATACAATGGTGAGGACAAGAGCCAAGGTGGAGACAGAGATGGGGCTGAAGAAGGTCGGATGCTGTATTCCGCGGCTATCCGATTGCGAAAACCAGGCAGCCTGGATGATTGACTTGATGACTGGATTTTGCGCAAAAGCCTTCACGGGTCAAAGGATTCTATCAACAGCAATGAGCATGCAACGAGAGCAATGAGATAACATACACGGTAATGGAACGCTCCCTTAGTGAGTAGGCTGGCAGCGTTGAGCTTGATGCCTTCCGTGTCGCCATCGAGAAGCTTGTAGTGGGTCGTGACAATCGGCTTTGCAATCGCCACAAGGGCGCTACGAGCATGAGCACCGTATTTAGTAATCTGGAAGATATCAGACCAGGCGTGCGCATTCAGTAACGGTAGACATACCATTGTCGATACCCGATGTGTCAGCTCCATCGGGCCTGACTCTGTCTGTAGCTCCCCCCAGATGACCTTCACCCAGCTAGTAGCGATGTCGAGACCCGGAAATGAGTCATTGGTCCAGATGTAAAGCTCAAACTTGTGTTGAGCGGACTGGACCCGCTTTGCGCAGTCGGGTGTCAAATCTTTGAGGTGGGTGCGAAGACCGGCGGGTGGTTTTCCGTTCACAAATGTAATCTTCACCACCGGGAGGATCGTTTCGATGCTTGTCGTTGATCGTTTGGGGGTACGGCTTGACTGAGAGGAAGTTGTAGGCGATGCAGCAGTCACGGGTGAGGATGGCCGAGGGGAGCGAGAACGAGAACGAGAACGAGAACGAGGGTGGGAATGAGCGCGGGCGCGGGAACGGGAACGGGAGCGGGAGCGGGATCTGGGACGCTTGCGCCGTACCGCAGAGCTGAAGGTGGTGTCAACGAAACCTGGCTCCATTTCGTCACCACTCTGTCCGGGAGTGACTCTGGTGGTAACGACAGCTGTATTCGTATTGACGGTTTGAAGAGGAGCTAGAATGAGACGTCAGTAGGCAGCACCGAAGACCCTGCAGATGACGCACTACGTGGGCTTCGCATAGGTATAATGACCGGGACATCGACGCCGGTGGATTTGCGGACTGTTTTGACTTTCGAAGCAGACGAAGTAGATGAGAAAACACCCTTGGAAACGAACTATCCAGTCAATAAGTCAAGTATAGAGCTCTTGCTATGACACACCTTGTGCGAGAAATTGGAGAGCGGGACATCGTCTTGTTCTTCCTCTTCAGCAGACATGTCGGAGGTTTCCTTCTCCCGGAGCTTGGCTAGTAAATCATGACACAGTAGGTTTGGAAACTAGGAGAGCCACGTACCAGCAAGCTGTTTATTCTTCTTTTTCTCCTTCTCGAGCTGCTTTTGTGTCGCCGCAAGCTTGGCCTTCTCTTTCGTCTTCTCGCGGTCCTCTCCAAAAAGCGTCAACATTGAGATGAAAAGAAAGAGCATACACGTACTGTTCTCCTGCACTTTTGCGGTGGCCTTAGTCTTGCGACGACCACCTGTAACCTTCCCACTTGCAAGGTCAAGATGCGGGACAGGCTTGTGTGGACCATTACGGACGGGCGTCTCTTGAGTATCGTCATCTTCGCTCTCAGAGCTATCCGAGGCAATGAGCCGTGCCATGAGGACGGGTGGTGAGGAGGGAAAAGCAAAGGGAGGATGTGACGAGTCAAGAAAAAAAAATGCTGTGACGCGCGCCACAGACTTCCGATTCTGCCCGAAACTACCCGATGCCGCGCTCTGCAACAAGAGGAGAGCATGCCTGCCCATTCTGTGCTGCCAACCCCAAGACCAATGCCGGCTTACACTCGCATTACGCTCAACGGCCAAGCTGTCGACGGCAACTTAGCTTAGTTCTTGAGGCCAAGTATGCGGCAGCCCCGCCACTGCCTGAAGCTACCCAGCCGGTTGGGTACGACGAAATGGCTCTTGACACCGAGCCGCCTGCCAACGATGTGGTAGCCCAGCAGCCATACTTTGCTCCGCATACCGCTGTCGACAACGCTGCTGATAACGACCCCGACTTGGATGCGCCAGGTTCCGAACGTTGGATTGAAGATTTCCCGGAGCCTGCGGGATGTGTTCTGGATGGTGGAGCGAAGGGGAAGACTGCGTTCGAAGTGTATCGGGAACAACAAGAGGAGCTCGGTCTTCTGCCGTGGGGTGATTTTGAGAGTGCGGGAGACTGGGAGCTGGCAAAGTGGCTTGTGGAAGCAGGAGTGAGTCGGGGGAAGATAGAAGAGTTTCTCAAGCTTGAGAAGGTACGCACGGCTGCCACATTTCCTTGACATAGCCATAAACTCATGTCCATTTCCCACAGATTCGCCACGGTGCAAAGCCGTCTTATCACAATGCATATTCTTTTTACCAGAAAATTGACTCCTTGCCTGCGGGACCAAAGTGGGAATGCGAAATGCTGCAAATTACTGGCGATATCCTCGATTCGGATGGCAATCCAGTCACCGAGGAGGTCGAATTTTTGGCGACGCGATACATTAGAATGCATCAAAGAGATTATGGCCAACCCAGCCTTCAAAGATCATATGTTCTATGCTCCCCAGCGCATCTATCGTGACGAACAGTGTACAAATCGTGAATATGGGGAAATGCACACTGGTGATCGGTGGTGGGAGCTACAGGTATGTCACATTGACTCTGTCCCCGTCGGGTACTCAATTTGGATAGGAAAAGATACCTGCTGGGCATACTGTTTGTCCCATAATCATCGGAACGGACGAGACACAGCTGTCGAATTTCAGTGGCGATAAGAAGGCATGGCCAGCATACGCGGCTCCCGCAAATGTGTCCGATGACGTCCGGCGCAAACCCAATTCGCATGCAATGGTTCTTATCGGCTACATTCCTGTCTCGAAGTTCCAGTGCTTTTCAAGAGCCAAGGATCGCTCTGCTGCTCGACAAGACCTTTACCATTACTGCATGAAGGTCCTTCTCAATGGGCTGATCAAACCGGGCAACGATGGTGTCCGCATGCTCTGCGCCGATGCGCACTTCCGAATGAACCACCCGCTTGTTGTCGCGCACCTCGCAGACCATCCCGAGCGCTGTCTCGCTTCCTGTTGTGCCGAAAACCGCTGCCCGGAGTGCAAGGTTGCTGCAAACAAGCGAGGCGACCCTATTCGTTCGCGTCCGCGAGAGCCTGGGGAGACAATCAAGATATTGCGCAAGCAGGCCGACGGTCTGGATCCGCCTGAGTTTGAAGAGCTAGGTCTTCGACAGAATGATCCGTTCTGGAAGGACCTGCCACATTGCGATATATATCGCTCATTTTATCCCGACCTCCTGCATCAACTCCACAAGGGGGTTTTTAAGGACCATACAGTTTCTTGGGCGACAGAGTCTGTTGACGGGTCAACGAAGGAGAAGGAAGCCGAAATTGACAGGCGATTCAAGGCCATGCTGGACCATCCTAGCCTTCGACACTTCCAGCAGGGCATTTCCCTGGTCTCCCAGTGGACGGGGAACGAATACAAAAACATGGAGAAGGTGTTTTTAGGCGTAATCAATGGTGCTGTCGAGCCTCAAGTCATGCTTGCAGTCCGTGGAATCCTCGATTTCATTTATTACGCACACTTCGAAACTCATACCGACAAATCCCTTATGCGCCTTGAGGCTGCTTGGTTAATGTTCCACGATAACAAGGGCGTATTTCTGCGCACTGGTATTCGTGAACACTTCAATATTCCCAAAATCCACGCAATGCAGCATTATGTTGCACTCATTCGACTCGGAGGTTCCACCGCGGGAAAGAGTACTGAATTGAGCGAGCGTCTACACATCGATTGCGCAAAAATGGGCTACCGAGCTTCAAATCGCAAGAATTATTTGGCCCAAATGACTCAATGGCTCAGTCGACGTGACGCAATCTACAAATTCTCGGCTTACCTCGATTGGGCGGTGCCAATTTATCACGCCTCTATTGTGCCTCCTTCGGAACCAGCAACGACTCCAAGCAGCATAGCGGCAGCCCCAGTTACAGCTTCCCTGCCATTCAAGATTGCAAAATCAGCACCATTTTCTCTTTCGGCTCAGGTTCTGGAGACGGAATTCGGCGCAAACGACTTCCTGCACCATCTCGAGACTTTCCTTCGGTCTGAAGCTATCTACCCATCCGATTTTGACAGTATCCACACCAACTTTCCTGTTTATAAACCTTCATTAACCGTAGTTGCCATCTAATTCCCCAATTCTCTCGGAAAATTCCAATTGACTACACCTCTGAAAAGGTCTTGGATCAGGCAAAGACATTTTATCTGAATCCCTATCTTCGACACATCGATTTTGTACTACTTTCTGGAGTTGAATAACATCAGGACTTGTAGAATTGAATACATATTTAGCTGCCTTGTTACAGTAGTTATCGAACTGTACATTGTTTCACAGTTTGCTACACTGCGCTACATTGTGCTACAGTGTGAAGTGGGATGCTACAAATGCTATAATTCTGCCCTCCAAGCTACATGGCTTTTCTTTTTTCCTGATGAGATGACTCTGAAGAAATTGAAGATCAGGGCAAAGACTTACAGTTTAGTGGTGTAAGATTGCGCCCATCATCAGACATTGATCAGTCAGACTCAGACTCTGAAAGTTCTGAAGTTGAAGATCAAATATCTGAAGAGACTGAAGTCGTTGATCAAGGAGATCAGTCAGGATCAAGAAGATCAAAGAGACTTAGATCAGATCAAAAAGAGCGCAGATAGAGTGTCCATTGAAAAAGGAGACAAGTACAAAGTGCTACAGAGCTCCAACCACCCTACTGACCCCAGAAACCCTGTAAAGACTGTGCAGTAAATGGCATAGTACAAGTAAAGACAGTGGTAAAGAAAAGGACAAGTCAGATCATATCATGTCATGATGGTCATAAGTCATAAGGGTCATAAACGGGACATATTGAGGAAATGATGGGCATAGGGGGGACAGAAAGAGAAAAGAAAATCATTCTTAGCAGTATGCTGGGCTGTGTTGAACATCAGCACAGTACTCGCACGGTTTAGGCCGACTGCGAATTGAATCAACAACGGAATGTAAATATAAAAATAACCCACGGAGTCGGAGGTCTTGGAGCTGGAGGCACCACCAGATTTCTTACGGCGGGGCTCGCTACTAGCAGCCAGGACGCGCTTCTCGAGGGATTTGATCCGTTTGGTGCGGTACTCATCAGCACGGTCGATGTCGAGAACGGGCGGCGCCCAGTAGGACCTCTTGGCAGGTCGCGGATCGCGGCGAGAGGCTGCGAACAATCAGAAGATAAAACGAGAGGTAGGAATGAAGACCTACGTCCGGACGGAATCTTGTCTTCCGTGGCCGAGACAACTGGACCGGCTTCGACAGCGGCCGAAGCAGCGGCTTGCGCGGAACTACCGGAGTTGATGGTAGGGCCGGTGGCTGCATCAGCAGGCTGGGAGGTGGTGTTGGTGAAGGAAGTTCCCTCAGCGGGAGCTCCTACAACAATGAGACAGGCCAAATAGATAAGATATAAACCTACCAGAGGGCTGAGGCGCAGGCTGATTGAAGACATCAGCCGCGAGAGCAAGGCTTCGTGATGAAGGGAGCTCACCGGAGCTGTCGTTGCACATCAGAGATGTCACAGAACAGCAAGAAATGAAACGTACCAGTGGGAGTAGGTTGAACGACGACGGCATCAGTGCCGGAATCAGTCAAAGCAAGAAGCGGGATGGATGGCATTGGCTGTAAAAGTGAGATCCACATCAGTGTTCGTTGAAGGACGGCGGCCAGAAGCGAGGCCAAGATGACCAAGTAGAAGCCGATCCGAGCTAGGACACGCACCAAATTAGAGTCTGCATCGATCTCCATGGATGATGCCTCACCATTGCTGGAAGTGGACGTAGTTGCGATGGTAGGAGGAGGAGGCAACGGCGGGAGAGACTCAGTGGACGAGGATGAGGAGGACGGGACAGGAAACATGTCCGCGTCGTGCGCTGCTGCACCAGTGTCGATGTTGAGGCGGCGCTGAAGATTGCTCAGTGCGAAACAATATGAAACCATCAAGCACTTACGCGGGATCGTTGAGCGGACCCGAGCGCTAGCTGGCGCTGCCGGCGGTTGAATTTCTGCAGCCGGGCCTTGGCGCGCTTCTTCTCGTTCTTGTCAATGAGATGGTAGAGGGCAGCATCACCGTAGAAGCGACGCAAGGTGTCGCTGAGGTCGTCCCGGCCAAGAGCACCACGCGGGAGACGACGCTCGTACTCCTCGCGGACTTTGGTAAGGCCACGAAAGAGCGTGGTGTCCTTGCTGACCGCACGCGCATGTTCGGCGGCGGAAGCCTAGAAGAAAAATTAATGGGAGATTAGAAATGGACTATTCACCCACCCAGACACCCGCTTGAGCGATCCAGTGGTTGTCGGCGTCAGATGGCGACTGGAATGTCGCTTTGTCGTTGTATTTGGCGGCGCGGAGAAGCTGCTCGCGACGAGCATCAGAGATGGGGAGAGTTCCAAAAGCAAAGGCAGAAGTCATAATGAGCGTTAAAGTGGTCGTGAATGCTCGACGAGTCGATGCAGAACGGAACTACGCACCATTGCTTTTATACCCTACCCGCCGATTGCTCGCAGCTGGGAAGAAAACTCCAACTGGGGACAGTTGGTAGCGAAAGAAAAGGGGAGGGAAGCATAAGAAACATGAAATACGCACCAAAAATTTCGTTCCAGCATCGTGGAACCAATTGAACGGTTCAGAGCGCTGCTGTAGAGGTCGATTGAACTCGAATCTACCGTCGGATGACTGAGACGACGAGCGCAGGCACATGCTACATGTGCCTGAGGATGAACAGACGGTGAGAACTTCCTGCGTTCTCAAATGCCTCGAGGCGGCAGGAAATGAAAAGATACCGGATGGAGCGGGATTTTGCCAGGCCCAGAAGGATTGCTAGGTTCAAATGGACGCATAAGGAGATATGGAGATGATTGGAGCGACCGGGAAAGGAGATTTCCGGTCAGCAATAGCAAATGTATGAGTCGGATTGGTGGACGCATACACGGATACAAAGATCGTATTCTAGCTGGAAACAAGGTTTAGAGATGTTAGTGATCGAGAGGACAAGTGGTAGGACGCACCCGACAGACTGGAAAGTCCTCCAGCGAGCGCATTGCGCTCCCTTCCATCTCCCTCCCAGCGCTCCTTCCAGCCCTTCCATCCACCCATTCACCGGCCCTAACCCCACCAGAAGAGCTCCAGAGCATGGGAGCTTGCTATAGGACACCACAAGGCGGTATTTGCGAGGCCAGGCGGCCAGCAACGCAAAAGACGACGAGGAAGAGAGCAGAGAGTGTGACGTGGCATTCGTGATCGGAGAAGTCAGCGATCGCGTCAGCGGAATCAAGTAAGCGGCAGCCCCCGATCAATAGCCGGCTACTGGCACAATTCAACCGGTTTCAATGCTGGAGTAGGCAGAAATGAGCCGCGTTCAATGGCAGAACATAAGTTGCGAGCTTATTAAGCTCAAATATGGCTAATAAATCGCACAATGTCCTGTTAAAATGCCAGAAAACACAAGAAAAATCAGAAAATATTACTGGAGGTCCTAGAATCAGTTCAGACCAAATTGATGATGTTGTGTGTCGGTCACACATCTGTGACATGGCGAAATATGATTTAAACAGAATTTCTAGACATTCAAGAGAAAATATGTTCAAGGATGAGCTTGACTAATTTTAGTCAGCTGGTCCATATGATCGAGAACATCTCACAAATAACAAGGCAAGATAACCATGACACTGACTTTGGAAGATTCCAAATGAATTTTCCTTTGAACTATAACTTATACTTATAGGTGATAGAGGAGTTTGGAACTTCTCAACTGCAGAAAATGAAAATCACAACAAGTGTTCACCCATGGTTTGCTGAAAAATGTAGGCACCCCATGCCCAGTGAAAAATGTAGCTGGAGGCAATGAAAAATGTAGTTGCTAAAAATATGTGCTATGTTGACCGTGGACGGTCAATATTTATGAAAAGGGGAGATGATAGGCAGGCAAATAGACCACGCCTAAAATCGTCCTAAACACTGGAATAATTTTATTTTCAATGTTTGCACACTCAGAACACAAAAACATGCATAAACATGCAAAACAATCAATTATGAGCAGTTGTACAAGTTCTGGACTCATCTAGACCCTAAAGCGCAGATAAGGTTCAGTGGGAGAGTCATTTGGAGTCATAAGAAGCGCCAGGCAGTGCAGGCTTCTAGCCGGGAAGCACCCAGAAGGCTGTGGAAGAGTATGACTCATGAATGACTCCAACGGACAAATAAGGAAATATGACTCATGGGAAGCGCCAGGAAGGTTCTAGAGCCACAGCCACTATGACTCGAAGTTCTAGAGCGTCCTAATAAGGCATAGAGCGTCACATAAAGTCACAGGAAGTCGAATTATTAGCATTTTGGGCTATTTGGTGTTATTTGGTTCCACTAGGTATATAAGGCTGCATGTATTTTGTGATAGGCAATCAATTAATCCCCAGAAGGCTGGTAGTTTGTGACACCTCAGCCGTCACATCTATTCAGTTTTGCTGTGGAAATCAACTCTCTAAATTGCAGGATTAAGTTGCAGGTGCAGGTGCAGGATAAACAGGTGCAGGTGCAGGTAAATTGCAGGTTACTAATATTGCAGGTGCAGGGGAGTCGAGCCATATTGCTCCTCCATCAATACAATCACATAACTCTTTGTTTTTGTTCATTCTAATCGAAAGCAAACTCAAATAATTAACAACAATTCTTTGAAGTAAACTTTAAATTCGCTAGTTGTTTCCTGCAACTCGAAACCCCGAACTCACACACACACAATAGTTAGGATTTGATTTGGTTAGAGTTTGATTGATCATTAATCTGCTCTACTGCACATTTTCTAAGTGTATTACCGGGGTAGTGCTTCGCCTGAACAAATCCTCGTTGGAACGAGGCCAGTAGGAGAACAGGAATGATCGGTAAGGGACTGATGAAGATAACCCGACCAAGTCAGCGAAGCGTGGGTCCGGGCGCAACAACGCAAACTCGCCATCCTCGACTTGACGCTCCCAAAACTCAAAGGAGAAATCGCGCAAGTCCGTGGAGTGGGCTTTATACGCATCTGCAAACGACCGCCAGCGCAAGCAGGCACGATGGAGGGGGCTACAGGCGTCGCAGGCCCGACGTACAGGGCCGGGGAGCTTCTGAGGGGAACCCCTTCGCTGTAGCCTCGAATAAATCGGCGGTAGAAGTTGGTGAACCCTAAGAAAGCTTGCACATGCTTCACTGTTCTGGGCTGCGGCCATTCCATGACACCTTTGATCTTCACGGGATCCATTTTCATTGAGTTGTGCGAGATAATCACTCCCAGATACTCAATCTCAGTGCGTTCAAATTCACACTTTTGGGTTTGAGATAGAGTTTGTGCTGCTGGAGAACCTCAAGCACCTGGCGAACAATCTTCTGATGTTCCTCCAGTGAATCCGTAAAGATAAGAATATCGTCAAGATAGACGACAACGTGTCCTTCATTGATCAGATCACGTAAGATGTCATTCATCATTGTTTGAAATGTTGCCGGCGAATTGGTAAGCCCAAAGAACATGACTAAGGGTTCGAACAGTCCTCGGTTGGTTCGGAAAGCTGCCTTCCACTCGTCTCCCTCCTTGATGCGCACATTATTATAACCCCAGCGAATGTCAAGCTTTGTGAAGTATCGGGCACCTTGGAGCTTATTGACAAGCTCAGAGATCAAGGGCAGAGGATAACGGTTTTTAATCATCATCTCGTTTAACTTCCGATAATCTTGCACAGGTCGAAGAGAGCCGTCTTTTTTTCTTGACAAAGAAGAAGGCAGACGCCATCGGTGACTTTGATGGTTGGATGCGTCCGCTCTTTAGGTTTTCTTCCAGGAAATTGTCGAGCTCTCTTTGTTCATCACGAGACAGAGGATAGATTTTGCAATCTACAGCCTTAGAGTCTGGCTTGAGTTCGATCGCATGATCCCATGGACGACATTCAGGTAGAGAGTCAAATGATTCTTTAGCGAACACTTTGACAAACTCTCGATACTGATTGGGAATCTTCTCCTCGGTCATTCGTTCTTTGTTTCGACCAGCTTCTTCCGCCATTCGCTGTGCTTGGGTGTCCTTCAGTCGGAGATCAACTGCTGGACCAAAGTCCACGAGCAAGATCGACTCTCCTTCTTCCAGATCAGGGTCGGCTTGGAACTCTTCATCACAAGCATTGCATTCAACAGGGCAGCGAGAAAACTTGATCTTTTGGGAGCGCCAGTCAATTTCAGGGTTATGTTTGAGAAGCCAATCGTATCCAATGAAGACACGGGCTTTACCCAGTCCAGTGACAAGGAAGCGTTGCATTTCCCAATGATCTCCAACACCCATGCGTAGTTCGACATAGTGTGTTATTTTGCCGTGAGTGTTCTCGGTGCCGTCTGCATTGCGGGCGATAATATGAGAGTCCAGCTCTTTCAACTCAAATCCTTCAGCTTGGGCATATGCTCAGTCAATGCAGGTCGTTGTGCAACCATTGTCAAGCAAAGCCTTTATTGCGCGAACCTTGCCAGTCTCGGGAACCATGAGAGTTATTGGGACCAACATCTCATAGCGTTTACGTTCCCATTGAAAGTCTTTCAGTTCCTGACTAAGACGATCTGGCTTGGTTCTAGCTTGTCGCAGCAGCCTCTTGCATCCGGATAGAGTCTCGAACCCTAGTGTGCGCTGGGACTGGAGGTACAGTCACATCAGCCTCCGCCTCCTCACTTCCTCTCTCAGTCTTTGTTGATGCGGTTTTTTCTCCGCAGGCCTTTTGGAACTCAGTCCACCACTCATCTTTCTCAGCACGCTTTTGTTCCTTTAAGTTATGAAGACGATTCTGATTTTGCAAAACATGGATACGACGAGAGTTGTAAAGGAATTCATGTATGTCCTTTCGTAACGAGTCCGAGTCGGTACCATAAAAAGAGTCCGTAGCAGGCATATCGGGAGTCGCATTTAATTTACTGAGAGGGGAATAACGTCCATATTTTGAATCAACAATTTTGGATCGCTCCGTCTCCTTGGCCAGGGGAGAGGAGTGCTTTAAAAACCCGCCTCAAGCAACTTCTGGATCAACTGCGCCAACGTGCCATCAAACTTGTCACCCTCATCAACCTGAGCCATCAAGGCCCTGACGCTGAGTTTCGTCTGAGGGGGGTCCAGGCAGTTGCGACTAATGTGACCAATTTTGCCACAGTTGAAGCAGCGCAAGGGTTTCCACTTCTGTCGAGCGCGGTCGACGTCCATGGCATCGGGATCTTTAGCAGGCGCGGCTGCTTTTGGTACTGGGGCACGTGGGGCGGCGGGCGGAGTACGTTGGAATTGAGGTATGAAACCAAATGTCTGTCCGCGGCGGCCCAAACGCAGCCTGTTCCAAGACAAGTTGGCGTTGATCTGCATCAGACGCTCTTTCCATTCCAAATAGGTCTTGGGTAGGGCAGTGCCTTCCACGTAGATAGGA